TCCTTGTGGTTGCCCGTACCTTACTGCTTTCTTCTTTCCCTCTAGTTCATGCACGTAGTTGTGCAATCCACACAAAGCAAGAATTATTTGTGATTGCTTTATGCCCTTATAGTGAGGTACGCATTTAAACATTTTCCACTTAGCTTTCATGGCCCTAAATGTACATTCCATAACATTGCGCAACTTGGAATGGTGGTGGTTGAACACCTCCTCCACGTCACCACATAGGTTTCTTGGATGTGGCGGCAGATATCCTGGGCAAAGTGCGTACCCAGAGTCCACCAAATAATATCTTCCTACAGACCAACATACAAACAGACAAGGTCACAAACACTTGTCATGCATCACAAGAGAAGCATTGAATCAATAGAACAAGGAAGCCAACTTAGTTAAACAAACCTGCTGGTGGGTGAGGGTAATTGGGATCCTCCCATGCCATCTTTATCACCCGCATGTCATGCGATGAACCCTCTATCCCACTGCCAATATACATGAACCACATGTCAAAGTCACAAATAGCAATCACATTTTGGCTTGTGTAACCATGCCTATTAGTGAAGTCATCACATACTGCTTCATCAACAATCACTTCTATGTGAGTTCCATCAAGGGCTCTTATGTAGCCATCAAAAAAAGTGTGTACTTTGTCAACTTATGCGGCACTACAGCATAACTGTAGTCCTTAGTCCTAAGCACTGCATTTGCAAAGGACACCATGGCGTTAAGCACTAGGTCAAATATCTTGCTACATGTGCCCAATCCCCTCCTGAATCTCTCATGCATTTGCAGCTAGAATTGCCCTGTCCCACATGCCCAAAGAAACATGCCTAAAGCTTCCATTGAATTAATTTCCCTAGTGGATACTAGACCATAGCCTCTAGATAATATGTAATGCAAGCGTTTGAAATTTTTAGGCTGCATACGAAAGTTCTCAAAGCATCTACTATGATCTTGCAAAAGGTTATCTACCCATTGTTGTCCGGTGAGGTCCGGCTAACGGTAGGTAGGGTTGACTTGTGGTGGTACCATCATAGTGGATATTATTGCATATCCTTCCGCCATAACTGCAGTAACCAATTCGTTGAAACTATTCTCACTAGAATTTTCACTTTCTTCATCACTTCTGTCCATTGTCCAAACAACCTGCATTGTATAACACACATCAGGCACAACAGGAGTTGTACATTAAGAAAAGTAATACACAAATTAAGAAACATGTTTTAGCAAAAACACACATAAGACAAATTAAGAAACATGTTTTAACACATCATGTAGGCAACTAGCTGAACCGAGAACACCAATTAAGAAATCATGTATCTGATACTAACCTCTTTGCTAGTTGATGAGTACCATACCACGCTGGTGCTCGGCCTCCTATTGTGCAGACCTCATCGACACCTAGAAAATGAGTAGTTAGCCTACGCAGCAAAAAGATGCTACTAAACATTCCACATGAATATTGACATTTACGCACAACAAACAGTTATAAATCACAGCACACAACTTATTTGGAGTTCTAGAAAATAAACACGACACATAGTTCTGGCCAAGGGCCACATTACATCGCTACAAATTAAACAAACACACAAGTTCAAAAAACTAGCGGACAAGAAATGAATTGAAATGATACAAGACAACACTCAAATGTCATCGATGGTCTCAAGCCAACTCAACATCTAAATGCCTGACACGCAGCTACTTAAGGACATCCACCAGGACTACTTGTTGTTCCTGTTCATGTGCCATGTGAGCCAAGCAACACGCTCAACTGTGTTGACCAAATTCTTGAACTCCCTACGGTACACAGAGTTCTTGAACAGCTCTAATGCTTCGAAGAACATGTCTGAAGGAACGAGCACACCATCGTCGCGTAGGATTTGCATTGCTTCGTCGACCTCCGCCTGCTCACGGGTACATTCTAGATCATGAGATGTACTCCTCGCAGCAATGCTTTTCGATAAATGTGCCATGTACTCCCCTACATTGCAAGACTTCTTCTTCTCTAGGCTGTTAATAACATGGTCCCTGCTATCCCTTTTGGAACCGGAGTGATAACCAGATGGCATTGCGGCACCAATACCACCCGCGGACATGAAAGTGCCCGTGTTCTAGTTCGGGTCGCCGTAGAGTGCTTCAAGTTCATTCAGGAAGGCGGGTGGTCTGCCCCGTCTTCCACCGGCAGCACTTGTCTCTTGCAACGAACATATTCGCAACTGTTTGTGAGAAGGATGGAAGCAGACACTACAAGGGCAAGTAGGTGACAACACATGGCAATAGTTAGTGAACTTACCGCGCACTCGGTATTGTCATCGCTATCGGGTTGGGTAGCATCCTGGGTCTCCCAGTACTCAGGCTCAGTGTCAACGCCCCCCCCCCCCATTTGTGTGTCCCGACCGAGCCTAGTGGGTGATAGCTCGTTCTTCCATTTTAGGTAATTGGCTTTCAGGGTTGCTAGTTTGTTGTTGACCTGTCTCCGATCATATTGGGGGAAGTTGGTGTAAATGTTGTTCCAGCTATCCCGAGTTACACCTAACTGGTTGAAGTTCAACTTTTGCTTCTATTGAAGGCACATGTCCAGCAAAAGCTGGGTTTTAGCGTCGACCCAACATGCGCGTTGGCTTGCGCTACGACGTGGCATCTGTGTGCACGTTCAATGGCTAATTTTGTTGTGTGTTTGCAAACAAATCGAAGTGCACATAGCTAAGGCCAGCACGACATAACTAAAACTACGACATGATGGAATGTGCATAACAGTAAACTTGCCTTGCTTGTTCGCTTCGCACGTTTGGCATGCAACTTGTACCTAGTAGCTTTTGGCGGTGACCAGGAAGCTATTGATGATGGTGCCAATATAGAGAACTGTTAGAGGCCGGCGATTCAAAGGTTGGTCGAGTGGTCTGGACAGTAAGAACAAAACAAGGCAAGATGTCATAGTTCAAAACTTGATCTACAAGAGCGTAGAAAAAGGGGACGAGAAAAAGTCATGGACGTACCAGATCAGGAGAGGAGGGAGTCAAAGAGGAACAATGGAGATGTGGATCTGTGGAGGCCGAAGGCAATGATGATGAGCTACTGGCGACGTGGTCAAGGCAAGAGCAGACAACAAAGAAGGGGCGAAGGCGTCTGGTTGTGTGGCTGACGGCGGTGGAGTGGGACAGGGGTGCGCCGCTGATGGCAGAGTGGGGCGGCTGGCATCGCTACAAGACAGGCTGAGTGCGACCCCAAACCCTAGGCGCGGTGCGATGGGAGGATGACTGAGGGAGGCGGGCCTTGGAAGCCTTAGTACGGTAGAGGGTTAGGCATCGAGTCGACACACGCCGAGAGTGAGAAGGTCGGCGTGGAGTCGATCAGCGCCGAGGGTAGCGACCTGACGCTCTTTTAGGGTTGATAGATCAGCGTTGACTTGACACACGCTGACCATCAATTGCTCAGCGTGGAGTCCTTCTGCGTCGAGGGTAGGTAGGGCCAAGTCTCTGGTTTTGAGTGTTGGGGGTTGGCGTTGATTGAGTTAATGCCAAGATTGGCCCCAGCATAGGGACGCGGCTATAGTGGCCAGTGCTCGGCGCTAAGTCAGGTCGTGCCGAGATATGGACCTCGGTGTTACCTTAGCCCACACCGAGATTTATGGGCCCATTACCGTGTCTAGGCCTTGGCATTAAGTCTAGCCGTGCCAAGGGTTTGGGGTATCACTCGGCTAAGAACTTGGAGCTGAGTTGGGCCACACCGAGATATGGGCCTCGGCATTTTTTTGATTTGATGCCGAGGTAGGGCATGTCGGCGCCGCGAGCACTAATTACTTAGTAAGGATCTGGCTCGGGGCGGCCACCTCGGCATTAAGTTGTCACACGCCGAGGTCACTTAGCATGGCACGTGTTCGTTACACACCAACCATGTAGGATTATTTTTGTTACACATGCTGGCTCCTACTTCTAGACATGCTGTAAATATTTTAGGAGCATTTGTCAACACAAAATAAAGCAATTCAACATAAGTGAATACACACCATTTCAAGACATAGCATGTCAACATAGTTCACACAAGTTCCATACATACTTCCCACTAATTTTACACAGACAACGTATGGTCCATACAAGTTTCCAACATACTCCATACATTTAGTTTCCAACATAGCCAAGCCCTGTACCTTAACGTGGAGCCCGAGTCCTACGCTTGCCTCTACCAAGTGCATACGTCCTTGGAGTGTACCTGTCCACTAGTCGACTTGTCCTCTGCGAATGTGCAGCACCGGAGGATCCTTGAGTTCCCTGAGGTGCATCATCAAGCTATGACATGCCTAGCTCATCATAATTGATGTCATCATCATCTTCTTCTCCTTGGTCGCCTCCTTGGTGTCGTCCTTCCTCATCATCATGGGCAGTGCTGGACGTACCAATACCACCCTATGAAGCCGATGGTCCTGCACCATGTGAACTTGATGAAGCAAAAACAAGCTATGGTGGGACTGTAATGTCTTGGCCATGTCAACATCCGATGCGTGCTGCTATTTTGCGTAGGCGATACATGGCACACTGCGGTTGTCAACACGATGCAAGTTAACCAATTGTTGAAAATCCTTGAATAATGACAACAAAAGTTTGAGGAGCACCTAAATGTGTTGTCGTAGCAGGCTAGCCTCATCAGGATCACCCTCAGGGATCATCAACGCCACTCCTTGCTCTGCTACTGTGCTCATGATTTCCTTGCTCTAATCAAGCAATTCGTTAGTAGGTTACCCACCAAAACTAAAAAACAAGCTTTGGTTCTCACTCACCGCTCGGGTTAAGAGAGGGGCGACCTCAACCTATCATCCTCCTTAGGTAGCTTGGTCATAGGGGTTGTCACCTTCATCCGAGCTAGCAATCTCAGCATTATCTTGCTCCGTCTAGGCCGGCTTCAAATGTAACCTTGTAATTTCCCCTAGCCAAACAAGGTACTCACGGAATGCCTTCTCTCGATGGATGGCGTGGATTCGCATGTTGTTCTGCTCAAATAAATGCCACTCATCGATGTAATGCTGGTGTTCGATCTGCCAGTTCGTGATCTTCTTTTGGCGTTGTCGATTCAACCTGCAATATTGACAGCAATTCAAAGAAAATGGTACATTGCAATGACACTTGACATAGTGCAAGTTACATACTTGTGGAGCTGCCAGTTTATGGAGAAGTCCTCCGAAGGACAAGGCTGCAGCCTACCGAACTATCGTGCGACATGGTGAGGGACATGGTACTCCACTGCGTAGAAACAAATAAGCGGGTGTTGACGGTAGTTAACAACCATTATAAACTGTCAATATAATATGCATAAGGGCATAAATATAATCACCAACAAAGATCTAGGGTTTAAACTAATAAATTTCTTGAGTTTTGGTGAATCTATATTTTCTATAGGGTTTATCCAGAAAACCGTCAAGGTGGACCTAGATGTTAGACTTAATCGCGCTTATCCACAGCAAAAACAACCCCAAAAGGTTTTAGAAGACTCAAGAGGACTCCACACTGAAGCGGAGGGCGAGCCGCCACCGACCCCACCTGCAGGCCGGCCAGCCCCTGGGGCCCACCTGTCAGCCTCCCATTGTTATGTCGGTTCTTCACCGCCTCCTAGATTGCATCTACGCTGTTTATTCAAACCGGTTTGATCCGAGGCCTCAGGCTTGACGCTCCGGCCTATATATATATATATATATATATATATATATCATTTGAGAAGTTATTTGAGAAAACAAAAACCCTAATCATCCTCATAGCTCCACCATATTCTATGGCATAGCTAGTTAGGCTAGGTCTAGAGGGAAGCAAGTAGGCCTCGCTTGGATTCTCAATCGTGTCAAGAGCGTGGTTTGGTATAATTTTTGTACCCCCTCTCTTTTGCATCTCTCATTACTTTTATATGTTTGCTACAATTGTTATGACAATATTATTCATATCATTTATGTTCCTAGTTATCATGTTTATGGTTTACTTTGATTATATACTTAGTAAGTTTGTATAGCGCTCACTATAAGGTACCATGGGTGAGTGGTCGACATTGTATAAGCGTGATGCTTATACGTTGTTTACCTGTGGATACACCCTATATTCCGGGCCATGTGATAGATCACGGATGTGACACTCCCGTTGAGTCCTTTGTAGTCCACTCTCCGAATGTAGGTATACAAGTAGGATCTAATTACGAAGGAAGATAAGCTATGTTCTTAATCTTCCTTAGTAATATCCCTTATGTGTAGATATGAAGTTGATCTTAGCCATGACTACTAGGTGTAATTGCACTAATCAATGTATGCTTTAACTTATAATTAAGAATGACTTATGAATTATTCCTCTAATATTCTACTTAACCATGCTAATGTCATATAAAGGAGTACTATGAGTGATTATCATTGATCATTACTTATCATACCCATTTATCTCTTGACTTACCCTTGTTATGAGTAGAATATTGGTTATGGTTTATTCACTCTACCAGATTTCGAAATTGAGATTTGAGGCTCTAAACAAATTTAAATTAAAAAAATCAACTAAAAATTTTAATTGAGATCTACAATTTTGCTTTTGGTTATTTTTTTATCTGAGATCATTTGAGAAATTCAAAAAAAAATGAATTTCAAAATAATTAATCTTAAAACATAATTTCAGGGCTCTAAATGGTTTTAAATGAAAATATAGTCAACTACAAGGTTGTAGATCTTTTCATGTACTACAACTTTTGTTTAGACCATTTCTCCATCCGAGATCATTTAAAAAATTTAAAAATATTAATTTCAAATTATTGTAGTGGTGCTAGGTTAAGAAAAATGCCAGTGTAAATGCATTTTATTGGCGGTTTTCTTAAGCCTACCGCTACTGACGGTTCTTTTAAGGATACCGCTGGTAGAAATCGGATTTATAATCTTGGTAGGTTAAAAGAACTGCCAATGTAAATATATGATTTCTTTCGGCGGTAGGTTGACTTAACAAAACCGCCGGTAAAGATAAATTTACATTGACGGTTCTACTAGCGCCTATACATTATGAACCGCTAGTAAAAAGAATTGCAAGCGTTAGTAAAAATTGATTTTGTACTAGTGGAAACTTGATAAAGTTAGAGAACTCTAACTTGAAATAAAACTGAAATACCTTATATTTTGCAAAGCAGGCCTATCTTTGCTAGTTTCACGGGACACTAGTTTACTCCAAACCATGAACCGGTTTTTCTTTCTACCTCCTACTTAATTGTCCTTTGTGAAGCCTTTTCAAAATCTTTCTACTAGTATTATGTCCCACTCAAATCGCTATTTTTGAAGACTTCTTCAAATATTTTCTAGTATTTTGTTCTGAACTTGTATTCTGTGCATTTTACATATATTTCTGTTTTCTCCAAAAGCTAAAAGTGGCAGCCGCCCGATCTATTCTATCGCTGATGTCTGTCGTAGCTTTGATGCTTGGTGGGTTTCTTCTGGCAGAAAATGATTTGGGTATTATTTAAATCCAGAAGCTAAAGTTTAGAGGTGTCACATGAGAGTATTCGGATAGTAATAATAAAACAAATTATAGAAGTACTTAGTACTCCGCGAGACGAATTTATTAAACCTAATTAATCCGTCATTAGCACATGTTTATTGTAGCTTTGCTGTAGCTCCACATTGTCAAATCATGAACTAATTAGTCTTAAAAAATTCATCTCACAAATTAGTCGCAATCTGTGCCATTAGTTATTTTTTAGTCTATATTTAATACTCTATATATATGTCCAAATATCTAATGAAATAGGGACTAAACTTTAGGGGAAGAAATTAAACAAGGCCTTGATTGCTTGTTAAAACTTTAACACAAGTTCTTTCTGTCGGCTTCCTTCGAACACCCGTATACACCCTACCTATATGAGCACCTTCGAGAGATTGATATAAACACACGTGTACACCCTATCTATATGAGTATCTCTGAGAGATTGATTCTAAGCCGACAGATCTCGAGATTGACAAAGTCACTACAGACGTTTCACTATCGGCGGACAGATCGCCTAATAGAAAAGAATAACACCGTTAAATTCTAGAATAGACTCAGAAAAATATGGGCACCCGCATCAAGTTGAGACTTGAATCTAGGTGGATAGGTTCGTTCCACCACAAGAAACCTAACTAGCTGAGTTACGATCAAATCTCCTATGGGGAATTCTAGCAACTTTTTAATCCACATTATTTTGTAATTATGGTTTTGGATATAAGCATGGGTTTCATTGTGCAACCTTCAGTTGGAAATACTGTCTGTTTCTAGAACCATACACTCAAGCATTCCAATTTTTTATTTTAGATTTTTTAATGGGTTGAATTTAGATATTTGAAAACTATATGCGTATATTTGTCATGGAAATAGTTTCATGATATTGTACTATATTGCTTTATGCTTTGTCAATACGTTGCGTCGGTAAAACTTGGGTTTAGATTGGCATGCGGATAATTGTCTGTGGGACATCTAAACTGATGGTTCTTCGCTGGCGGACACTTACTTTGGGCATTTTGTCAGATGATACTCTGGTTCGGTAAAATTAGGTCATAGGACATCGTGGACCGGGTGCAACCGGTTGAGGAGAGAGAACAGCGGTGCTGCCCCCCCCCCGCCGGTTGAGGAGAGAGAACAGCGGTGCCCCCCCCCCCTGTACAGCCGGTGCTGCCGTTCTGCCACAGGGCCACGTCTCGCTCCGCGCGACAGGTGGTGCCCACGGAGGCGTCGAAGTCCTTCAGGAGCCCGGCGGCGCGGGCCCTGGCGTCGCCCCAGTTCTCGACGCTCGCCATCGCTTCCATGAAACTCTCGATCCACTGATCCGTGCGGTCGTCGCTACCGTCTGACGGAACATGAACATCGACGGTGCGCTGCTCCTCTTCTTCTTCGGCGGCGGCAGCGGTGGCGGGGTGGACGTCATCATGATGAGCACCAGCGGCATCTAACCGCAGGTTGACCCGGCACTCGATCGCCACGTCCAGATCTCTCTCGCACTGCTCCAGGGGCCGCGCCTTCTCTGCGGAGTTGGCCGCCATAGCAGCAACCGCCGATTTGGTGGTCGGCTGCGGGCCGACGAAAGCGACCAGTTCGTGGAGACGGCGAACCTATGCTGCTATGCAGCAATGCAACAGCTCGTGACACATGGACAGGCAAAGAGCTGTAGCAATGGCGAGATGCAAAATAAGGAAAGGACCAGAGGGCTCCTAGCTTTTATTGCCTGGGTGGAGCTCCTCCGTTTGTATCTCTCCCGTGTTGGCGCCACTGGGCTTATCGTGCGCGCCGCCCGTCTTCTTCCACCCGACGCCGCTGCCCGCGCCGCCCGGGCCGCCGACGCCGCAGCAGCAGCACTTCCACCACCACCACCTCCACCAGGCCACGGCCGCCGCGCTGCAGGCCTTGTTCCCGTCGTCGGTGCCGGTGCCGGTGCCGGTGCCGCCGCACCTCGCGCTGCCGTACCACGCCGTGCTGTTTGCTTGAAGTGCGGGGACAGAAAATAGAAAAAGAGAAAGGGAGAGAGGAAGAAGAAAAGCGGTAAGGGCGAGAATGTCATTTCACCACTGTTCTATCTCCTCAACCGGCTGCAACTGGTCCGCGGTGTTCTGTGGCCTAATTTCACTGAACCAGAGTGTCTTCTAACAAAATACTCTAAAGTGGGTGTCCGCCAGCGAAGGACCATCACTTTGGATGTCAACAGATAATTGTCCCTAATATTGCAGGATACATTAATGCGTCACTCGTATCTCAATGAGTGCAAGTTTAAGAGGAACTCTTTCTAAATCTAGCAATAGAGATTTTGGTAAAAAACTACTCTCCATCGGCTGCTCTGAATTGTTATCCAAACTAGTATAGTATCCGTGCTAACGCCACGGCTTAATTTCAGTGATGCACATGAAAACAACCAAACAACGATATAATATCGTTATTATTAATTTATATAATCTTTTGAAACAATACAAAGTTAAATACCAAAATAAATAATTCACATGTATACATACCAATATCTATTATTTATATTGTCCAAACTTTCACATGTATAAGGCCATCTCAGATTGGAATTTTTCCCCAAAATTTCAAAACTCTAACATCAGCGGGGATTAGAAAACTCATGGCCCTGTCGCCATCATTGCCACCGTCGTTGCCTTGTGTCAGACATACAAACTAAAACAACTAAATTATGAGCTGACAAAACTTAAATTTTTTCAAAGACAAAAAAAAAAAAAAATACCCATGCCTTGCTACATGAAAAATATTTCACAAACCGATAACCTCAAAACTTTTTAGCCAACTTTTTCATTCCAATTCTTTCCTTGTTCAACAATTACATTGCAACTCCACTAAAACTTTGTAGCCAATTATATTGCCAAGCCCCTGACGATCTGCGGCGCCGCATCTTCCTCGCTCCTCGCTCGAAACGCCTCCAGCGCCGGCAACTCTGACCGGCCACGCCGTGCACCGCCCTGTCCGGGCCGCGCCGCCTCAACACCGACAAACAAACGCAAACCCATACACCCATTCAGCAAAGAATTAAATTTAATAAATTTACCCCTTCAGATAGCAGGAAAAATCTCATCACCAGCCACTTAGTTCTTACTGTTGTAAATGATGAAGCACATATAGATGCATTATGGGCATATCAATAACACCTAGAGATCCAATATGTGTGGTTGTTTACCAGATACGGAGTATGTAATTGTAACACAGGTAGAGATATGAGTACAGATACTGAATAAAATGACTCTAGGTTGCAAAAGAACATGTTAAACTCAAGTAGTTGCACAATAATGACATAAATGGTGGCAAAACTGTTGCTTGGATAGATAAATGACCATAGAGTGCGAGCAGTATATACTAACTTCAATGCTCAAAGAATACAAGTACTTTAGGATCAACTGACTATCAAGAAACAAATGCAAGCATGCTGAAATTGTGTAGCACACTGAAGCACAAAAAATTGATGTAAGATTTATCTATTTCTCAAAATATCTAGCATGGAAAGAAATGTTATCCATCTAGAAAAACATGCCAAGATAATAACTCCAACGACCGATCAAATACAGGATATTAGTGAGGGTATACATGACAAAACAGTCAGGAGAAGAAATATATTGTAGGAAGTACAGTAGATTTACTAAAAGAACGGCTTACAAGAAACAGGAATGCTTATTCAAGAAGAGCATGCCAAAAAAAAAAACAGCTAACCTGGATCTCTTTTGGGAACGTCGCACTAAACAGCATTCTCCGCCTGACACCTGGAACTGACATGTCCACTTGCTCAACAATTCTTCTAACTGTGGATTGAAACACATATCAAGCATTCTATCTGCCTCATTATGGGCAAAGGTAGAGTGCAAAGATATCCTTGCCCTTTCCAACAAAACAATCATTCGGTCAGGCTAGCCGCAAGAATGTCAGCACACCTCTCGAGATCTCTTAACTGCAAATTAGAATATAAATTTAGAATGTGATACAAATTTTAGAAAATAAGTAATGGTCAAAGGTAATATCCACCTGACACCTAGAAGAGCCATGTCCATTTGCTCAACAATTTTTGTAACTTGTGTTTCAAAACCCATATCAAGCATTCTATCTGCCTCATCAAGGGTAAGGTAACAAATTGCCTGCAAAGCAATTGCCTCTTTGAATAGGCCATGTTTTAGAGGCCGTTCATGTTTATGACTTTTTTAGTGAAATATGGGTGAACACATGAAAAGCAGTTCTATCAAGATTTTGTCTAAATAGCCATGTGCAAAGAAATTTTCCACACAAATCATAATATTAGAAATAATATATTTTTCCACACATCCGTTTTGGAATGGCTGAACCTTTTTTTCGAAGAACCGAATGGCTGAACCTTTGACCATTACTTATTTTCTTAAATTGTATCATTTTCTAAATTTACATTCCAATTTGCAGTTAAGAGATCTTGAGAGGGGTGTTAGACATTCTTGTGGCTACCCTAACCGATTGGTTGATTTGATGAACATATGTAATTCATACATTTTATATTTAATGTCAGCTTACTTCTTGCCAAGAAGTGGCCCCATCATAGCTTCCCAGTGGCCACACTTGTGCAGTGTCACAGCACGGCACTTTGAGCTCCCCTCGTGAACCCTGTGCTCTGGCGCCGGAGTATGTACACGAACTCATTGGTGCAATTCCTCATCTGGAAAGCACGCCCGTCAATCCACCGCGAAACTATCGATCATGGAACTGTAGATGCCACTTGATATTTTCATGCAACTGTTACCTGCTTCAAATCTAGGAGAAATGGAGAACATGTCCTTTATTTCCATGATCAGGCAACAGCTCTCAGATGACCATAGCAAGAGATACAGGCATCAGTTCACATTACCTGAAGATTATTTATGCAGGGTACAATACAGATTGGCAAAAGTGAGCAGCAGTGGCAGTGCCAAGATCCAGCAGGCTGCCCACATTCTCCCTAGCTCCATCTTCTTTCTGAACCTGCTCTCTCCCAGAACAGCAATGCACAATTAAAATGCATCCAATTCAAGCATTCAAACAATGATTCGAACAGACCGGCCACAAAGTAATAAAAATTAAATACCTCTTTTAGAACTTGCCAAGAGCAGAGCACGTCATCACACTTGCATGCGCCACCTCTCTGCATCCACTGTGGCATTGAAGCTAATGTTATTTGCTACAGGAAAAAAACTCGATCTGTTAGGATTGCTCTGCTACTGAATGCGAACGGTGTTTAGATAATGCCCTTTACCTTTTCTAGAAAAAAAAATTCAAAGCCACCGGTGAGTTGTCAATTCGTATTAAAATGAGTTTGTTGCTAACCTAGTCATTTGTATACAGAAATAAACAAAATATATATGAAAATATATACCCTTTGTTACGTGCATCAGTTGCTAGAACAGATCTCTACTCCTTAGCTGGACTTGATGCACACTCAGAAAATCGAAATCGCAACAGCATTCTGAAACTCCCGAAGAAGAAGAAGAACGCACCGATAAATCCTTGGCCTTGGTGGAGCCGGACCTCGACGACGACTTCTTCCTCCCGAAGAGCACGGACTTGCTCCACTTCGCTGGAGACTTCCCCATTGGAGCCTAATCCGCTGCGCACCGGATCGGAGGGGTTCAGACCGCAGATCAGTCATTATCGGAGCGCCGCAGCAGCAGCCATCAGTCGTCGCTGCACCGCCAGAGGCCGGAGCTGGGGTTTCGAGCCTAGGGAGGCGCGCGGGGCAGGAGCAGAGTGCGCGACGTGATGGGGCAGGGAGGGGAAGGAGGAGTCGGAGTCGCCGCGTGTGGCCGCCGCCGCTTGCTCCCATGGCCTGGCGCCCGCGAGTGATGGAGCCCGCATCCTCCAGGGCCGCGAAGGCGTCACCCCGCCTAGTCCTCGGCCGGAGCGCCGCAGCAGCAGCCATCGACGCCACGCCGCCACCTACCGGAGCTAGGGTTTCAAGCCTGATGAGGCGCGCGGGGGGAGGGAGGGGAGAGGATGAGTCAGAGCCGCGTGTTGGGGTGAATGCGTTTTTTTTATTCGGTGATGATCGGCTTCGAGCGTTAAATGGTAGTCGTGGCGGGTCGCGGCGTGCGGCGTGCGGCGTGCGAGGAGGGCGCGGGGGGCGAGAAGTCTGGCATCGCACGTCTAATCATGGTCATTGGATTTGGTTTAGGTATTTTATTAGTTCTTGATTTTAATGTAGATGAATTACTGTGTGTATTTTTCTGGATGCATAATGGTTGGAAGCTTTCAGCGAAGGACTTTTTCCTAGGGTGCCTAGTACAATTTTGATTGGTCTATTATAGTAGAGATATAATCACCTTTCATTCCAGTTTACTAGATCCTTATTCCAATGGTCCCGTTCGCTTGTCTTAAAAATGGCTTGTTCGGCTTTTTTTTTAGCCGGAACAGTATTTTTCTCTCACAACAATTCAGTCGGAACAGTGTTTTTCAGGCAGTTTCAGCCAAATTTCAGACCAGCGAACGGGGCCAATAACCCTTAGCCCTAAATTTCATTTTTAGGGTCGATCCCCAATTCAACTAGATCCCATGAGTG